CAGTGCCCCCTAAAAAAAAACCCCCCAAAAAAAAAAAAAAAAAAAAAAAAAAAGAAGTGACCAGAGAAAACTAACTGTAATTATTATTTTTTTCTTTATCTTTTTTTTTTTTGGAGAGGATTTTGCTGTAGGGCACGTACGCTTGCCAGAAGGGCAGAGAGACAGAAAGCGAGGAAACATCCCCCAGGGGGGATGGCCACATCACTGTCCCTTCTCTTCCATTCTCCTCTCCGGATCTTGGGCACGCACGCACACGCACCTGGCGTGAGTTTAAGCCACTGGGTCTGAGACTTGAACTGCGGTCAACTACATGGGAGTCCAGTGACATAGGCATTACGCTAACTGCTGTTCCCAAAATTCACTATAATTATTGAAGATGAGAATTATTCAAACCACACCTAAACATAGACATTGTCACCAAAATGATCGTGTTTCCAAAAAGTAACTTTTTTTTTTTGAGAAGTTTTTGCTATAGGGCACGTGCGCTTGCCAGACAGACAAAGAGAGACAGAGAGACAGAAAGCGAGAAATCACTGCCCAGGGGGGATGGCCACGCTGCAGTCCCTTCTCCTCCATTCTCCTCTCGGGATCCTGGGCACGCACGCACACATGCCTGGCGTGTTTTAAGCCAGTGGGTCTGGGACGCGAACCGTGTTGACTACATGGGAGTCCAGCGACATAGCCATTGCGCTAACTGCTGGTCCCCAAAAAGTAACTTTTTAAAACTGTGTCTTCCTACTCCTTTTCTTCTCCCTGTGAAGATAATATACAAGCCCTAACTCTGACTGTGCGAGTCATGTTCTGTGAACTTCCATACTTTCATTAATGAAAGTACATGATTAAACTTGCTGTTTTCTCTTGTTAATCTTGCTTTTTGTCAGTTTAATTCATAAGCCCTCAATACAACCTAAGTGGGTATAGGAAGAGATTTTGCTCCCTGGCACACCCATAAACTTATCATCAGCTTAATAACACCTATGATCAATTTTCCATATTCAATCTTTTCATCTTCGTTTACTTTTTAATATAACTGTAATCATGAATAATATTACCACATAGATACCCATCCATGATGTTATGTAGCCCTCCAAATTATGATTTTCTTTTTTTAAAAGAATTATTTAATTTTATTATTATTATTATTTTGTTTGACAGAGAGATATAGCAAGAAAAAGAAAATGAGAAAGCAGGTCCAGGGCTTGAACTGTTGTCGGCCACATGGGAGCACAGTGCCTTAAACACCACACAACCTATTGACCCTCAAATTAAGATTTTTCTAATGACTGCATAATTGTTCATTGAAATGATGTTAGGGGGGCTGGTAGGTGGTGTGGTGGTTAAAGGCGCTGGACTCCCACAAGGCCAACTGCGGTTTGAGTCCCAGACCTGGCAGCTTGCTTTCTCACTTTCTCTCTCTTTCTCTCTCTCTCTGTCCATCTCTGTTCAAACTGAAATAAACAAATGAATAAATAAATCAATAAAGTTAATTTAAAAAAAAAGAAATGATGTTAGGAAGTTCCTTAACTATTCTCTTCCTGTTGGGTATTCAAATTGCTTTTGGTCAGAAAGCAAAAAAAAAAAAAAAAAAAGATTTTAGCATGAAGCTCCTCCCCTTTTAGAATTACTTCTCTAGGTTACTTGCACAGGACTGTCAGGTCAAAGAGAATAAATCCATTACCATGTGCACATGTTGTTGAATTGCTTTCCCAAATGATGGCTTCAAGGGAATGTTGAGTTAAACATCTGCCTCAGGGAGATGACAGTAGTAAAACAACCCAGAAAATGTGTGACTTTCTTTTGTAAACTAAATGCCTAAAATCTGAGATGAAGTCATAAGTATAGACCATGAAAAAAACTTAATCATTTAAGTCTGGAAGAAGTGCAAATGTGATGAGAATTATTCAGTAAGAGGAACTACACGTCCTAGGTAATTTGAGACCCAGAGAAAGGTCCCTTGGACTATTTTTTTCCTCCACAAAACAAAAGTTCTAGTGAATTACTCCAGCAAGAGGTTTGTGGATTCCTAAGGAAATGAGTTCATCTTAAGTGAACAGGGCACTTTAAGAGCAGAATTGCGGGTGAAAGCTCCATTATAAAAATTTGATTTGGTTTTCATTAGCTTTTATTTGGAGGAAAGCATAAGATGATCAGTCAAAAGGCAATCAATGCCTACAAGTTCATCTGATTTCCCTGTATTAACCCAGTTACCTCTATTAGGAGAGCCCAGGTACCAATATTCTAACAGTCAATTCAAAAGTGGCTTAAACTCACTCCGGCACGTGTGCATGTGTGCCCATGATCCCAAGAGGAGAATTGAGAAGGGATTGTGGCGTGGCCATCCCCCCTGGGGGGTGATTTCTCGCTTTCTGTCTCTCTGTCCCTCTGTCTCTGTCTTTCTGACAAGCGCATGTACCCTATATCAAAAACCTCTCCCAAAATAACAACAGCAATAATAACAATGCAGCAACAACAAATAGCTTAGCACGGACAAACCACAGGCTGATCATCTTAAAAGGGCAGTGAACGGGAACCACCTCACAACTTGATCAGAACTCTCCCTAACTGCAATCTAAGGAGGACAATACCAATTTTCATCTCAAAGACCCATTTCTCCTACTAGTTACTCTACACTGAGCTTTCCACAAATGGTGTTTGACTATTTCTGGATCACAACTATTGTAGGGAGCCCTCCAAACTATTATACTTAAAATCCGCTTTCATGAGTTGAAATAATTTAGCTAAATGCTGACAAAATGACTGAAAGTTCTTTGACTTCCACTCCCACCCCAGCCACAAATTTTTATTTCCTCCTTTTCTGTTTTAGGAACTGCAGAGAACTCTGCAGGATTGCTCCTAAACGCTTTGGATCAGACCAGAAATATGAATCTACAGATAAGAGTTTTTTTTGTAAACCATTAGGAGTTCTTTCTTTCTTTCTTTCTTTCTTTCTTTCTTTCTTTCTTTCTTTCTTTCTTTCTTGCCAGCTGGTAGGTAGTTGAATGCAGTTTTGTACATAAATCACCTGCAGGAATCCTTATCAGGTCAGTTGCAAATATGTCCATTCGAGGAAAACAAACGGGAAAGCACTTACCAGTTAATATTCAGTGGGGTGAGACGCTGTGGTGATGCCTGGGTGTAACCTCCCCCGGCGTCCGTCGGAATGAAATGGAGAGTGATTTTCAAAGTGCTGCGCTGTACTAGTTTCCCAGCCTTCTCATTCCGTTTCTATCTGGCTTTTGAAATGACCCTGCAGAGGAAAATGATGTTGGGTTTTGAATGTGGCTCAGCCCTTCCTCCACCGCCCTTCGCTAAAAGTTCATCATGTGTTCCAGGAGAAAAGTAAGCAAGGAACATATGTATAGATTGATGCTTTTGCTCAGCATCAGTGTGTTTGTGTGATAGGTGTTTTTTGTTTGTTTGTTTGTTTTTATTTAATGGAAAGAACAGCTGGGAGCTGCCCTGCTGTAGACTGGAAGGCAGTGATTGGAGGGGCACCGATCTTTTGTCTGGGTGGGTTTTGCTTATGAAAAGTCAAATTAAATGAAAAGGAATGGAATGAAAAGAAGGCTTAGAATGCCAAAGGGAGTCCTCCAAATGCCTGGCAAACTGGAGTTTATTAGAAGAGACATTTTTGTTTACAGGGTTTAGTGTGTTCTGATAGTGAAGAAATGGGATCGAATATTAGGTAAATGTGTATTTTAATCTTTTCACTTAGATAGATCGAGGGAAAACTTTGCTGGCTGACTCTCAAAAACAACAACAAAAAAATCAAACCCTAAATTTCTTAAGAGATTTTTGCTATAGGGCATGTGCACTTGCCAGAAAGACAGAAAACAGAAAACAGGAAATCACCCCCCCAGGGGGGATGGCCAAACCACAATCCCTTCCCCATTTTCGTCTGGGGATCTTGGGTTCACACGCACATGTGCCCAGCGTGAGTTTCAAGTCACTGGGTCCAGGACTCAACCGTGATCAACTGTCTGGTAGTCTAGCAACATAACTATTATGCCATCTGCTGGTCTCCTGGCATGAGTTTTAAGCCACCAGGTTGGGGACTTGAACTGCAGTTGACTACATGGGAGTCCAGCAACTTAACCATTATATCATCTGTTATGTCCCCACCAGAGGCATTTTCAAGGAGAATTTCGGAAAGTTATGGTTACTTTACATGGTTCTGAGTTTATTTTTTGTGGTAGAGCAGGAAGCCTTGAGTAGCAAAGGGAGAGCAACAAGATGACATTGTCCAAGGACTGCCTATGTGCAGAGCATAGTTTCAGCCCAGTACACACGGAAACCCAGGAACGTGTACACGTTTTTATTTTTGTTTTAGCCATCACCTAAACGGACAGAGTTGAAACACATGCTTACCTAGCTTTGAAATTAGTCCAAGAGACAGTAAATAAAAGGAATAGTGGGAACCAGCAGACGGTGTAATGGTTATGTCCCTGGGCTCCCACAGTCGACCGCATTTCAAGTCTTGGACCTGGCGGCTTAAACTCACGCTGGGCGCATGTGTGTGTATGCTCCAAATCCCAAGAGCAGAATGGAAAAGAAGAGATTGCAGCTTGGTTGTCGCCACCACCACCACCCCGGGGGGGTGGGTGGGTGATTTCTCACTTTCTATCTCTTCTGTCTCTTGGGTGAGCACATGCACACTATAGCAAAAATCTTTTTTTTTTTTTAAAGGAACAATAAATATCTGCCCTCTAGTCTTCTTTATGTTTGAAGAGCTCCCCTTTGATATTCTAAGCTATGATTAGCTATGCAAAAGTAGCTGAAGCTGGAGTGGTCAGCTTCCCAGGGATCTTCAAAAGTTTATGAAAAATGTGTCTTTTGAAAAACTCTGCATGCTTTCAATTTATTTATTATTATTATTATTGCATCGACAAACTTGTACTTTAATTTTATTTTTTTCCACAAACTCTTTTGAAGTTTCCTCATACTTGGGATAATCTACCTGCATTAAAGCATACAGTGGACATCCGTCAGGCTGTTTAATGTGTTGGTTAAGCTGGTGAGTCAGCTAACTAGAGATCTGTTTTAGAGAGTCTCTTTTTTAAGTGGCAGAACTGGAATTTGGTCCCCAGACAGTCTGATTCCAAAGACCATTCTGTGGAGTTAAGAGGCAACCGTTAGACTATCCATCTTCTTTCAGGAAAAGACAGTAACAGAATTGAATGAATGGGAGGAAGGGATAGGAATAACTTCTACCAGAAACAGGATTTCAGGGCAGTTTCACCACTTTCTAAATCATTGCGAGTTTTCTGAAGCCTTGTGATAGTATTTCAGGGATTTTCTGGAGAGGGGCATGCATCATATGCAGGCACACCCGTGCCAACGGGGCTCAGAGAGAAAGATATATAGTGCCTGCATCATATTTACGGGAACAAGACCTCCCTTTTCATAAAAATAGTCTTTCTCCACTGACGCTTACAATTTCACTCTTAGTGGGCCAGCTGGTAGTATGGTGGTTAAGGCAGCTGGATCCCACATGACCAATTGCATAGTTCAAGTTCTAGACCTGGCAGCTTGAAAGACACTCTGGGCATGGGCACATGTGCGTGCATGACCAAAATCCTAAGAGGAGAATGGAAGAGAAGGGATTGGCATGGCCATCCTTCTGGGGATGATTTCTCACTTTCTGTCTGTCTCTCTGTGGCAAGTGCATGTGCCTTACAGCAAACTAAAAAAGAAAACTTTTGGGGCTGGCAGGTGGTGTGGTAGTTAAGAGTGCTGGACTCCCACATGGCTGACTGCAGTTTGAGGCCCAGATCTGGTGGCTTGCTTTCTCACTTTCTATCTCTCTTTCTTTCACTCTGTCCCTCTCTGGTCAAATTAAAAATAAACAAATAAATAAAGCTAAATAAAATAATTCTTTAAAGAAACACTATTAGAGAATTATTCTTTTAAAAATACTACATTGTAAAAGAGAAGATTTGTATGAATCAAATCAAGTTCTAAAAGTTAAAATAGTTTGGATGATTTTCAGTGGGTTTTCAGTGGGTCATCCTTTTCCAATCTCAATCCCGCCCTCCAAAGTTGGGGTCAGCACCTTGGCACCTCGACTTTTTTTTTTTTTTAAGAATTATTCATTAACTTATTTATTTAGTTCCATTTGTTATTATTATTTTTTCAATTTCACCAGAGAGAGCAAGAGAAGGGGAAAGCGAAAAAGCAGCCCCCCAGTTCTAGGACTCAAACCATGGTCAGCCATGTGGGAATCCAGCGCCTTTATCCACCATGCCACTTGCCGGCCCCCAACATCTCAACTTTTGATATGATCAAGGATATTACTGTTCTTTCTCTTGTTTGATGTTAAATTAGCATGTTTATCTCAATTACCTTAATATTCTGAAAATAGCAATTTCAGAAATAGACATTTAGAAGGTTAGCCCCATTGCTGGGTAGCTCAGGAAGCCAGATCCCACATAACTGACAGTGGGGTTTAAATCCTGGCTCTGGTGGCTTGGAAAAAATGTGCTAGGCACGTGTGTGTGTGCCTAAAATCCTGACAAGATAGAAAAATGGAGGACAGGGCTGGCAGGTGGCATGATGGTTAAGGGTGCCGGACTCCCACATAGCTGATTGTGGTTTGACTCCTGGACCTGGTGGCTTGCTTTCTCACTTTCTTCCTCTTTCTCTCTTTCTCTGGTCAAATTTTAATAAATAAATAAGTAAATAAATAAATAAGAAAAATGGAGGGGAAGGGATTGCAGCAAGACCATGCCCTGTGGGGGTGGTTTTTTCCCTCTCCCCCTCTCGTTGTCTAGCATACATGCCCTCTAGCAAAAGAAAGAAAGAGCATAGATATTTGGGGAAATACAATCAGATCATATTAATGATCACTTCTGATCTTTTTGTTAAAAAAAAAAAATTCAGCTCAAAACATTAATACCAGAAAAGACATTTTCTTACAAGCAAGCTGATTGTGAGAAACAGAAAGCCTTGTTTCTTTGATATAATTCGTTGTGTGAATGCTCTTCGTAGGTCTGTCTGTTCAGTGTCGGCAGGATCGGAGATTAGATTTGGAGGCCTTTATTTGATTGTTCCAGTGAGGCTGGAACAGCGCAGAGCTTTTCCCAGGGACTGAAATGGACTCCCAGTCACAGATTCAGTGGCCCTAGGCAGGTCATCACAGTGAGGAGCCATGGCAACCGGCCATGCAGGGGAGTTTTCATGCCACTTAAACCAGACCGTTCTTAAAGGCAATTGAGGACAAAGCCTTCTCCAAATTCTTGCTTTCAATTCTGTATTGCCCCTTATGGGAACTGAGCCTCAGGACTCCCAGTGGGAAAGTCTGTGAGAGGACTTAGCTCTGTGTCTTCTTCATTAAAGATACTCAAAGCTCTAATTACCTGCAGAAATGTGGGGGAACAGCTTCTATTTTATCTGCGCTTTGAATAAACCTTCATTTTTAATATGCTAAATGCCAATTTCAGTGAGAGCTGATATGTAGCAAGAGGATTCAGGTTCGTTTTCTTATCTACTGACCCAGATGCAGAGTGGGGGAGAGGGTGTGCAAAGCTTTTGGGGGACAGAGCAAACACTCACCTCTTGGAAGGTGCCGGTACCTGCCGGTGCCTGGGCTGCGGGCAGGCTGGGCGTCTTCGTAGCTCTGAAACCTCTAGCTTTAATGTTTCTCTGGGAGAACTGGTTGCAGCTGCCCTGAATCTAGGAATAAGTATTTCCTCTCTTTGTAAAAAAGGGCGGTTAAATAATCTTTTACGTTATTGCCCTGGAAAAGGAAATGTGGTTTGCCAGTGTTTAAATAAATCTGTTGTACATCAGTTTGTCAACATCTGGTGACAGCATCCTGGCCTTCATTCCAGAGAGAAAGGGCTGCTCTGGGAGTTGAGACCACTCCCAACTACCTAGTCTAATTATGCCACTTTTCTCGTTAAACTGCAGATAATTATGGATGTGATGTAACCGTATCTGGGTTTTTCCAAAATGTCACATTTTAGGAAAGAAAAACAATCCGAGAGTAAGACGTATTTTCTCAATCTCTTTGAGCTGGTCCTGGCTCCACGTCTGCATTTTTTTATTAGGTAGTTGGTAGCTGCAGGTGTACTGTAGCTGTGGGTGTGTCTGTTTTGTGCTGCAGTACTTTTTAATATTTGAATTAATTTCTAACATTTAAAAGTCAAGAACTCTTAGCCATCTAGATGATAAACTCCTTATAAAATATTTAGCAGATCCGGGTATGTGGGACCCACATCTGAGCAAGGCTACAGGTGGAGGAGCAGCGGCTGGTCCCCGTACCACCTGCTCTCTTTGGGCAAAGCTTCCTCCCAGCTTCACAGCTTCCTCCCTGCCCTCGTCACTCTGGGACACCATCCATCTTGACCTTCAGCAGTTTGCACTTCCCACAATCTAATTCTTTTCCTGGTGACTTTTTCAATTTAAGAAAGAGTCTTTTCTAAACAAGCAAACAAAATTATTAGCATTTAATAATTGTACATAATTGTAAGGAGACAGTGATTTTTACAGCACAAGAATACAGTGTCGGGTCAGCAAGTGGTGTGGCGGTTAAGATGGATGCATCTCACTGGGCCAGGAGGTGGCGTAATGGTTACATCGTTGGACTCCCATGTAGTTGACTGCGGTTTGAGTCCCAGACCTGTGGCTTAAAACTCATGCTGTATGTGTGTGTGTGTGTGTGTGTGTGTGTGTGTATGTGTGTGCCCAAAATCCCGAGAGGAGAATAAAGGAGAAGAGATTGTGGCATGGCCCGTGGGGTGATTTCTCGCTCTCTGTCTCTGGCCCTATAGCAAAATGTCTCTCTAAAAAAAAAAAAAAAAGATGGGTGCATCTCACATGGCTGACTGTGCAGTTCGAGTCCCAGAACTGGCAGCTTGAAAATCATGCTGGGTGGGAGCTGGCAGGTGGCATAGTGGTTAAAGGTGCTGGACTCCCACATGGCCTACTGTGGTTTGAGTTCTGGACCTGTTGAGTTGCTTTCTCACCTTCCCTCTCTCTCTTACTCTGTCTCTCTTGGGTCAAGTTAAAATAAATAAATAAATAAAGTTAAATCAAATAATTCTTAAAAAAAAAAAAAAGAGAGAGAGAGAGAGGAAAAAAAAGAAAGTCATGTTAGTGTGTGTGCATGTATGCTCAAAATCCCAAGAAGAGAATGGAGGAGAAGGGACTGCAGTATTGCCAACCCCCTTCGGGGTAATTTCTTGCTTTCTTTATCTCTCTCTAGCAAGGGCATGTACCCTATAGCAAACTTAAAAAAAAGAAACTACAGTGTGTAATGATTCATTCAGGATAATTAGCATACCCATCATCCCAACCATTTGTCACCACATGTGTTGGGAACATTCAGTATTCTCCTTTTTAGTTACTTTGAAATAAAGAGCAAGTTGTTGGGGCCTGCAGGTGGCATGGTGGTTAAAGGCACTGGAATCCTACATGGCTGATTACAATTCAAGTCCTGGAGCTGGTGGCTTGCTTTCTCACTTTCCCTTTCTCTCTTTCTCTGTCTCTCTCTGATCAAACTGGAAAATAATAATAAGGAAAGTTAAATAAAATAATTCTTTTTTGAAAGAAGAAATACATAGCAAATTGTTACCGTCTGTATTTGTTCCACTGTATCTTATGACACTAGATATTACTTCTTTTATCTATCTGCAATTCTAGTTCCATGAATCCATTTCCTTCTGCTCCTCTTCATCCTTCCTAGCCTGTAGCAGAAGTCTCTTTCTGGGACCAGCATTTAGCGTAAGGGCTATGTTGCTGGACTCACATACAGTTGACCGTGGATTGAGTCCTGGACCCGGTGGCTTAAACTCATGCTGGGCGCCTGTGCGTGTGTGCCCAAGATCCCCGAGAGGAGAATGGAGAAGGGATTGCGGTGTGGCCTTCCCCCCTGGGGGGAAGATGTTTTGCTTTCTGTCTCTCTGTCTCTTTCTGTCTTTCTGGCATGTGCACGCACCCTATAGTAAAAAAAGAAAAGGAAAAAAAAAAAGGCAGCTCTAATTCTTTTCGTGAATTTTTTCAGTTTAAAAAAATTGAATAGGGAACCAGCAGTTAGCGTAATGGCTATGTCGCTGGACTCCCACGTAGTCGACGGCGGTTCGTGTCCCGGACCCGGTGGCTTAAAACTCACGCCGGGCGCGTGTGCGTGCGTGCCCAAGATCCCGAGAAGAGAATGGAGGAGAAGGGATTGCGGCGTGACCATCCCCTCTGGGGGGTGATTTCTCGCTTTCTGTCTCTATGTCTCTCTCTGTCTGTCTGGCGAGCGCACACGCCCTACAGTGAAAATCTCTCCAAAAAAAAAAAAAAAAAGAAAATTGAATACACAGAAAGATGAGTCATTGAGTGATCATTTTCATTATTTAAGAAATTTTACTTGTTCATTTCAAAGAATAAATTCCACCATTTCCCTAGTAAAACTTGAGTGCATTGTAAAGTATGATGAAATGAACAAAGCCAACTTTAATTATTTAAAAGAATTATTTTATTTAACTTTATTTATTTATTTATTTTAATTTGACCAGAGAGGGACAGAAAGGAAAGTGAGAAAGCAAGTCGCCAGGTCCAGGACTTGAACCGCAGTAACCCAGATGGGAGTCCAGCATTCTTAACCACTACAGCGCCTGCTGGCCCCAAAACCAACTTTAATTAACTTAACTATGGAATAGTGCTGTGCTAAAGGATGTATAATAGGGAGCAATCCACACATGTGTAGGCATTGAGGGGTACAGGGAATTTAGAAAATTTAAAAACAAAATAAAACCAAGTAAGGCCTTCTGCTTCTTGTTATCACCATGTGTCAGCAATTCCAAGGTTAGTGATGAAATACTCCCCTCAAATCATCTTTTACTGGTTTAAGTTTTAAACGATTGCTGTGATTTCTATGAGTTTTAATTATATATATACACACGCACACGTGTATAATTTATCTTTTCATAGACGATTTTATATTAAAGTCATTCTTAGTTTTGTTATTCTACAATAGACAAGGTATCTTGCATCAAAGATAATTAAAAACTACCAATTTTAGAATTGTCCTGGTGCCATGTGTAGATTCAACTATACTTTTTTTTGAGATCAAATTTTGTTTTAATTGCCAGAGGTCCAAAAGAAGGATTTTGAGGATGCACACATACATGCCTGGTATGTTTTTCTGTCTATTTTTTTTTTAAGAGCGTTTTTTTGCAATAGGGCGTGTGCACTTGCTGGAGAGGCAAAGAGACAGAAAGACAAAAAGTGAAAAATATCCCCTAGAGGGTATGGCCCAAGGGAGTATGGGAATCATTTTTCCTCCATTCCCCTTTTGGGTTTTGGGCACACGTACACATGTGCATTGTGTGAGTTTCAAGCTGCCAGGTCTGGGACTCTTATTGTGGTTGGGCATGTGAGAGTCCAACACCTTAAATACTATGCCACCTGCTGGCCTCATCCTGGTGTGTTTTTCTTTTCTTTTCTTTTCTTTTTTTTTTTTTAAGAATTATTCTTAAAATGTTATTCATTCATTCATTCATTCATTCATTTTTTAAAAAATTTGATCAGAGAGAGACACAGAGAGATAGATAGAGAAAGAAAGTGAGAAAGCAAGCTACCAGATCTGGGACTCAAACTGTGGCTGGCCATGTGGGAGTGTTCAGTTGCCCCAGCCACCATGCCACCTGCTGGTCCCATCTGGTGTATTTTTCTAAACATTCTTTTTTTTTTTTTCTTTTTAACAATTATTTTATTTAACTTTTAAAATTTATTTATTTTAATTTAACCAGAGAGGGACAAAGACACAGAGAAAATGAGAAAGCAAGCTACGATCTGGGACTTGAACTGTGGTCAACCACGTGGGAGTTCAGTGCCCTCCACCACCACGCCACCTGCCGGCCCCTTCCGGTGTGTTTTTTCAAGCTGCTGGGTCTGGGATGGGAACTGTGCATCTAGCCTCCACTTTAACCACCATGCCACCTGCTGGGTCTAAAATGATCTGTTTTGAAAGGAGAAACTGAATCAAGAAGTAAATACATTATAACAATGATATAATTTAGTAGTTGTCTGAATTACACTTTCTGCAGCTATTTAATTTAGTTACTAACTGCTGGAAATTATTTGCATAAAATATTATTACATCAGACTGTAACCAAAAGATGTATGATCAAATTGTTAGATATAACACTTCTGAAGAAAATTGTTAAAATTGTTCATTTTTCCTTTATTGGTACTGCAAATATGTATTATATATTTTTTCTGACATAATTGTGTATATGAAATTAAGTAAAATGAGTATTTCTACTTTTTGATTCATTTCATGATTATGGGAAATACTTCAACATTTTTTCTCAGACAGCACATGTGCTTGCCAGAGAGCGACAAACAGGGAGAGCAAGAAAGCACCCTCCAATGGGGCATGGTCATGCTCCAATCCCTTCTCCATTTTTCCATCCTGTCCAGATTTGGGGCACGCATGCATACATGTCCTGCATGTTTTTCAAGTCATGGGACCAGTTTTGAGCAGTTATCTGCCATGTGGTATCCAGCTCCCTTAACCACTACGCTCTGGGGCTGGCCCTGAGAATAGTGTGATCTTACTGAAGAAGGGGTACTAAAATTTGACCTGCTCAGGTGTCGGTGTACGGCTGCTTCAATGCAGTGGTATACAGGGACTGTCAAGGTAA